TAACATGACGGCTTATGCCAACATCTTTGTTTCTTGTTGTGATTGTCTTGAAAAGAACATACGAAGCAAATCCTCGATTCTAGAAAATGACCGTATAATTTTAACCATTACATTAAACATTGACATCATAAAGGTATATGAACAACTTTTATGAGAGCAATACGTTAGAACTTTCGTAAATTGACATTCTAAGGAGAGCAGCAGTCTCACAGTTTCATTTCGGGGACTTCAAAGGGGTTACTTTACTTCAAGGGGTAATTGGTAACCCTAAGCGAGGGCGACTTTATATGATAAGCTTGTGTCGCTCGCACATTTTGATATTCCCATGTATCCCAATCTCCACTCATCTTTTCGACCCTAAGCACACTTATCAAGACTTCAAGCTGAATGTCCAAGATGTTTCTGCTGACCGTATATGTGTTTTAATTAACTCAAGGTTGGATATAATTAAAAAGGTCGTGCTCGTAACTTGTGAAAATGAACTATTTACGCAAATGTGTTTATTGTTCTATTTGGATTACAAAATCTCTACAAAATTCATCCTTTTGTAATCAACGAGATTCAAGCTGGTGCAATTTTGATACAATTCACTTTGAATTTAAAACTTCACTTTTTGGCTGACTAGGACGCAGCATTATTATTTACAATAAGTGAAGGAGCACACTTTTGACGCTATAACTTTTCAAGATTCTGAATTCTCAAGAAATGCCGAAAGACTATCATTACCTTGAGGTTATGCTTTTTATTAGCTCAAGGTACCAAGAGAATTAATGTCTATTTCATGAAACAATGCCGAGAAATCAATTTCTTCTGTATCACACATAGTGTAGCGCCGAAAGGAAAAATCAAATAACGCTGTGCCTACTATGGAAATTGGCCTTGTCATGTAGAATGGATATGAGTTTATTACCTGCCAATTTACCTAAGTATGCTTCTTTTGATTCTTAATCTGAATTTTTTAATTTCAGTCACGTCTAGTTTAGCAACCAAAGTTATTAGATAAGCCTAGTGCTTCTTGTAAAGCGATTTTTCTTTTCTAATACATGTGTTGCCAAAATTTTTGGTTTTTTGAATTTTCAAACTGAAAAAAAAGCACGAACTTATTCGACAACACAACGTGCCTACTGCGGTAATAAGGGAATACAAAGAATTAATAGCAAGCGTTATTACTACTGTATTGGATGATAAGGTGAAGAAAATAATTAATTGGAGAATTGATAGTAATCAATGTGAAAGCGCTGATTGAATCTTGAGCAGCTGGGGCCACGTTCGCGAATAGTTCCCTAATCAACGCACGATAAAAGCTGAAAACTCACCTCTGGCGAAACGATGTGTCCTTCCAGTCGC